ATTCGTATCGCACACAATTCGAGTAGTCAACAGCAAAGCGCCTATATACAGGGTGAACCATTTAACGTTTTACATTTTTATAATTTTTCTCTTCGAAACAACTTTGCCCGTGTCATTTTACAACAACATACGGTTACAAAATATTTTATTTTTTTTTATTATTTTCCATAGATCTATCAACTTTTGATTCTTAAATGGCAACGTATGTACTTAAATTAATTTTTTTGAATTAAGAAAATTTTACTAAAAAATCTGACCGGTCGATATAGTTATAAAAACTATTAGTTTGAAAAACTACCTTAATAATAATCAATAAATCTTAGTCTTGAAACTAAAACTAACTTAAAAATGTAAACGCTTTTATACAATTTTTAAAACGAAACTGGCCGAAATAGATTAGATGTTAAACTTAAAACGAAACAAAAATGCTAGAAATCGTTTCGGTAGACGCCTTAGGAAGTGATTCTGTGTTATAGTCTTGATTTTTATGCAATTTGTCTCTTTTCGTTCCCCTTAAAATTCGTTTTTAGGCAACCTTACCGATTATAATAAACTTAAATTCTGAATCAATATTCCAAAAAATAACCATCGTTTATAGAAATCTTACACGCAGTAACAATATTTGTTAAACAAGTCAACGGTGTTAATGTGACAAAACAAGGTTTCAGCATAGATTAGATAAAATATAATCTGTAGTTTCAGCTTATATAAAACCTCTATTTTTTACTCTTTTTGATAAAAAAAAAAATTATTAAAAATCACATTACGGGGATAGCCCACAAAAAAAAAAAATAATAAACGCCAAAAATTATAAATTATATAATAATTATAAAACCGATATTTTTTTGGGGTTCATATAGGTATTATTATAATATTATAATGATAAAAATATTTTCACACCGTTAGCAGCCGTATATCCGGTTATTTTAAAGTAAAAAAATCAAAAAAACCGTGCGTGACAAATTATGAACTATCAACATACCACACGGGTATAGATAGAGTACATAAAAGCTGATTGAAAAAACAATATAATACATATAAAAAAAAAAGTCGAAAGCCGGATAAAGAGCATATATTGTCATACAATAAAAACATTTTTTTTTTCTTTTAAATTTCCAATAAAGTTACGTGGCCGGTCAACGCGTTAATGATTTAACACGGTCATGGCATTTCGGGCATCTTTTATTTTATTTTTTCAACAGCAATTGATACTAAGCATTAGATTTGGGCAAAGACCGGAGGTCTAAGACGGCTAGTCTAGCACAGGGTCCCCCAAAAAATTGCGCGACAGCCATCCATTTTTTTTATAATCATATTAGTACAATTTTTAAAAAATGTAATAAAAATTAAAAACAAACAAGTGGTTTAAAGAATATATAACCATCTCACTTGCATTAATATATCAAAACAATTTTCTCGGATATTGACACCATTGTGGAATTATAGCTAAAACCTTTCACAAACGAAATCTCATTGATGTTGTTTATCCACATAAACATAGAATAATACATACATACATACACGTTTAAGTTGCTTTAGGAGTAAGTTAATATAATGTATTTTTTTCGCCCATCACTGCCATGCGTTACAGTTTTTATTTTGGTCACAATACAAAACACGAACCATTTGAATAGATAGATCCGTAATGCGGGTCACGGTCCACGGAGTATTACGAGCCATGACACTTCCAAGGTCGTTACAACGCTATTTGTTTTTTTTAGGAATTTACTTCAAAAACTCGAACCTAATTGTCGCTCATAATTATCCAGCCCATCGAAAACAGCAAAATGTGCACAGCTAAAAACCCATTAACAGCATATCGTTATCTCCTCCTGTTAGTCTACTATATTTTATAACAGGTAGGGTTATTAAAAAAAGATCAGTTCAGGTCAGGTCAGTTAAGGTAAAAATCATAAGTTATGTTAGTTAACCTAATCTATCTAATGGAATCGCACTCGAATTCCGAAACAACGTTTTTACTAAGGAATTTTAACATTACCTTCGTTAATTTCTTAAGTATAGTTTTAATACTCAAAAACTGAAAATAAGACTGCGGGTGGATCTACAGCAGGGCTATGACACTTACAAGTATCTCAAAAATCTGTAGTTGAACTTTTATTTTTCTGTTAAGGAAAAACCAAAAAATGGAAAAATTTACTTCTTGACCGTACTAAATTTCTTAGGTTGCTATGTTTGAGTGAATCAACAGTCAACAGATATCTGATTGCTTTATTATGTTAATTACTATACACGGGACCCCAGTGGCAATGAATTATTAGAATAGCCACACAATCACCTTTTTTTCGGCCTAATATAAAAATACAATTTTAGGCACATTATAGTCTTTAGATTCGCTTCGAAGCACTTTCAGTTATATTTTCTGGAGACTTGTAACGTTTTTGTCATCCAGAACACAGTTATACATAGATGTAAGGAAGATTATAAAAAAATATCAATTCATATGTATAAATGTATTCGGGCATCGAAAACAGACGGAAACAAAATATAATAACCGGCGCGGCGCGGTGATTTGCATGTTATGCCATCGGACAGCCTTGGGGCAACTACTGCTTCTGCCGCACGATTCGCATTATTATATATTTTTATTATTGTCAAAAAAAAATAATAATACATAATAATGCACGCCTATTTCCGCAAGGATGCCCCCGCCGGTAGTTGTTCGGCAATTTTATGCGAATAAAAACAACATTACAATAAAATAGCACGGACATCATATTATTATATGCTAATCAGTTAATACTGCCTATATTTTAATAATAATTATACTAATCCAACAATAAAAATTCCACGACACTTGTAAACGACTTTAATACAAACCTAATAATAATTATTGAAATTTGTCCTAGAAAGTGTCGATTTGATTTTTTTTCATGTTCTGTTCTTTTTTTTAATTAAATAAAAATGTATTCCAACACGTACAACAGTTCTAGAAATATGTTTAGAACAATCAGATAAAGCGATAACAATAAAATCTCTAATTTTCAGACCTTAAGTTTAAAAACTGGCACAAAGATAAAAGCGATTATAATAACTCCTAATTTTTTCATTTGAGTTGAAATTAAAATGGTCATTTTAAAGAATAGGGTTTTTATCGAAAATTCAAAAAATAAAATTTTATAATCTTATTTGCCACATGATCTTAAATAAATACTCAAGTACAAACTTGAAGACATTTTTAAATTACCAATTGTATTATTGCTCATAATATGTTAAATAAAAAATTGCGTTTGAAACAAATAGTAATACCTTATTAGCTATGGGTTTAGAATTTGGATAGAGATCTATAAACAAATAACAACTCGTATTAACAACAGGCGACGCTTTGTTTTAAAAATTTAAGGTTCTCCTAAATTCACAAGTTTTCTTTTATTGGTTCCATAAACACTTATTAGAGATGTGTAATTAATCTGAAAACGGTTAATGGAAACAATAAAGTTTTGTGCAACCTGACACTAATTTTATTATTATTTACAATAAAAAACAAAACGAACACACTAAGTGTTAACTCAATCCTTTTTTGGTTTAAATAAAACGTTCAGAGGTGCTACTAGTGAGTGTAGTTTCCTGTTTCATGCTTTACGTGTACTTGATTGTTTCTGTATTCAAATTCACTTATTGTTCTATGTATTGTATAGATTGTAAAATATAAAATGTTTGAAAAAAAAACGTTTCGGTTAGGTCAGGTTATAGGTTAAAACTAAACTAAAATTCTTAAATATTTAGCATAAAAACATCTCTTCCGCATAACGAAAACCGATTTGAAAAAAATATATATATCGAATGTATTTTTGCGAAATTTGCGGCATGACCGAATCGCAAGATAACGAAAACTATGTGTACACACGTACACCTATACCAGTAAGTGCAGTTACATAAGATAACAAAACACAACCTAGTAACTGTGTTTTGTGTGGATTTACAATGTGTTTAACCGAATAAATCATACAAATTTCGAAGCGTATCCAACGAACAAAAATGAGTTAAAAAGTATATACAAAACCCACTTGCCCAACACGAAGACGACCTTTGAAAAGTACACCCAAGTCAAAAGATAATAATACTGAGAATAATATTAAAAACGTGAAGCATTATACGAAGAAAATGCACATATTATTGTAGTCACCGCATTCGATACCGAATACGCCTTGTTAATTATTACACTTAAGTTAATTAATTTCCATTTCAGTTATGCAACAAGTACACTGCACTTTATGGTTAATTTTTTATTTGTTAACGACTCGTACTTTTTTTTTTTTTATGGTATTTGCACGTGATAAACAATAAAAGTAACAACGACTTTGCTGTTATACTAAAAAAAAAACTACTCAGTTTAAGTTTAACCTCGACGTTAAAGTAATATAATATAATATGTGGTTTGGATCGAAAGGGCCAAAGTAACAACAACATTTTAGCTAATGGGGTTAAAATTTTGCCTTTTTTTGCCTCGCGCTATATTTATTTACTCGATTTATCGATATTTATAGCAAAGCCTAAAAACATTATCATGCTTTTACATTTCAGCTTTAGCACAGATTCTCATGAATTTTTTTGAATTTTTACATTCTATTAGCAGTAACGAACCAAAAACGACGATTTTATTTACACGGTTTATTTGTCTAACTATTTTTTGGTAAAAAGTGATAATATTGACCAGATTCAGAGATATAATATTAAATAAGTGGCGGTTAACACAATAAAAGCTTAATGTAAAATTAATTAACTTGTAGGCCTAGTGGCTCACAGTAGTTTTACAACAGCACATATTAATAACGCATTTTATTAACCAAAATGAATGCTTTTTTTTTAAAACTTTTTTGGCCAAGAATTAAGTAACACGTAATATGCTATAAGAAAATAAAGAAATATATACTTTTAAGACTGGTTCAAAATTTTAAAATTGTACGACCCTTCGGTGGGTGCACATGCAGTTGCATTACATGGTAAGTAAATGGGCGCCAATACATTAACAAACGACTTACCTTTGGCGTATCGTCGCTGCTCGTGTCGATGCCGACGAGCTTTGTGGTGGAGCCCATGGGGGTGTGGCTGTACGGAGCGGCGGCCGCACCCCCGGCACGCGGATCGGCCGTATTGACGGCGGTGTCCGTCGCTAGGTTGGCGGCCACGGACGGCGTCCTCGTTGTCGCCGTGTAGTCGTATTCGTCCCAAACGACAGTGTCCAAATCGCTGAGACCGTCGTCGTCTTCACAGCCGCCCGTAGTGGTGCCGCCGGCCGCGGACGCCGCTACACTGTTGTTGGTCACCACGGTATCACAGTACGCGGAAAACGTATCGCGATCGTCGTCGTCACAGTCGTTAACGCAGCAATCGGTGCCGTACGCGAACGCGTGCTCTCGCGGACTGAGGCGGTCGGCCGATACCGGCGGTGACGGCGGCTGCGGTGACCGGCCGGCAATGAAGTCGACCGGCCTATCCCCGCCATCGTCGGGCTCTAGTTGACGGAAAACGCCGTAACACGACCGCTCGGTCACAGCCACTTCCGAAACGACGGCTCGTGTCGACGGTTCGCGCTTGCCTCGCATCGCCGAAGATGCGTTCGACACCGACCTTGTTACCTGCCAAATAAACAATAATTAATGATTTACATTAGGCATTTAAAATATGCAGGGTGATACATTTAACGGAAGACACTCATTTTCTTAGAAAACAATTGACATAAATAACTTATTACTCCGGTGATCAATATGAAACATATTTAACTTACGAGCATGTTGTTTTTGACAGAGCAAAAATGTGTTTAAAATTGAACTTTTTGTAATAGGGTGGTAATACGATTAGGGTTGATCGTCGGTCTTCTCTAATTATTCATTGCCCTTGTTACCTATAGGCAGTCAACTATATAATGAAAGTACTTTCGGATACCTGCTGACTGTCAATACATTCACACAGAACATTTTTGAAAAAAATGAAGATGTTGAAGTCCTACTCTAGTAATTCTATCTTCAATCTAATTTTCAGACCTATAAAGCCTTAAAACTACACATAACATATAGTAATTTAGTAGGTACTATATCTAAAGAATATTATAATTGAAGTTATATAATTAGATTTCTCGACAAAACTTCAATCAGTAAATTTCAGATAGAACTCCCAGCCAAATGACATGTTCATGCAAAAAAAAAAAATACATAATTTCAAAAGCTCCACATTACAATTTTGTAGTATACCAGTTAAAATGTTCACCAAATTATTATAAAAAAGCTAATCAAACATAAACGTTATCATTTAAATTTCAAAAGGCATTAATGCTTAGGAAAATACTATAAAAAGGTAAAAGAGTATTTTTATAGGATTATAAAATTACATGAAGAACATTTTTTCAAGTAGAAGAACTACAAAGTTTCAATTATATAATACAAAAAAGTATCTTACGTTAAATGGATCACCCTTTAAAATAAGGTTTCTATACTCGATGTAAGACTAAGACTTCAGAAAATATTACAATACTTGGTTAATTTAACTACGCATCGGTCTAATACTAATTAGAACAATTATTATTAGTTTCTTGTAATGGACACATTGTATTATGCATCATAATCCTAATGAATTTTTTTCAAGTTTAAGAATTATAAAATACATTAAAAAAGAACCTACATATTTGAAGTCATTAAATCCAACCTAACGTGATAAACAGCAAACGAAAAACAAGCAAGAAACACAATGGACCAATCAACCAATAGCTTAGTCGGTAAACAGAGAACATGTTAGCTTGATTTACCAATTAGACTAACTACTAATTATCCAATTCAAATTTAGCCAATTACTCGCATACCTTGTTTTCATCTGTTCCGTCGTCCATAACGTTTTCTAAAGATTTAGTTTCCATTTTCACCCGAACTTCGAACAACAGCTTGAGGAGCCAGAATATGTTTTTCACTTAATGTTAATGTTTTTTTTATAGGGATATATAAGATTTTAACTTTTCAAACGTACGACCATTCGTTAAGCTCTTCGGACGATATATAAATCATAAATGAATACTCTAATAAGAGTTGATTAGTTAAAAAACGAGCAACACAAGCCATCATCAGCTGTGCCGTTAGAATATCACTTGGATCCACCAGTTTAACTGTACCTCTTCTACCGACAGTTTTTTCACCCTAGCCAATTAGCATAATATTATAGTAAGATGCTCACAAAATCAAGCAGTATTTTCAGTAGAATTAACAGTCGACAATCCGGACGAGTCTGGACGGGTTGCGATGTACGAACGAGTCATTAGGTAAAAAATAGAAATATGACAGTTAGCAATTGTTTTTTTGTCATATTGAATAAATTAATATTGAACCATGAAAATGTTTTATTAATTTAAAATTTTATAATCCCTAGATAATAGATAAGAAAATCAGTTAATAAGAGATTATTGACGATAACAAATCCATATTTGGTTATATGAACTAGGAAACTAGATTACAGGATTGAAAACACATTCATAAAAAAAATGATTTACAGTGTTCCATTGCTACATGAGAACGAGAAGGGAAGGGGGGAGGATAGGCGGTTGATAGGTGTCAATAAATTAAACAGGAGATGGCGATAAGGGGAAATGGATAATACCTGGATAACTGAAAGAGGATCATTAGAAGAGATGATTTAAGAGACGGAAAATCAGCGATCATAAGAAATGTTGGTTATTCCATTTAAAGACATTTCTCTCCTTCAAGGGGACAGATTACAATTTTCATTTGTACAAAAAAATGTTTTTATACTATCGATCTGCGATTATTACCATTTTGTGGCCAGAGTAATAATTTATAAAGCAAAATAATGAAAGTGGTTTTAAACGAAACGTAAAAAATTTAATTGCCCGAACGGGTCATTTCCCACAGATTTGTTACAGATTATTTTTTTTTTAAGTTAACCACGCCAAACATTTCAAAGCGAATGTTTTATTTTTTAAATGAAAACTGGTCTACATGCGGTGTATTAGTCAGAAATTATTTACATACAAGTTTATTACTACCCACTACCTAGCAAGAAAGAAATGTTATTGATCGCAAAGTCGAACCGTTTGGTCGTGTTTGTTGTTTTACTTGAAACGCAAGTTGTTTTTTTTTTAGATACATAAGCGGCATGAACCTTCTGAATTCTAGAACACGCGACCTTTATAATAACCACAATAATTTTACCTAATGCCTTTTAGTATTTATACTATGTTTCACATCATGTCATTAAAAAAAGAAACAGATTTTACAGTTATATTAAAAAAACGTTTTAAAATATTTTTGCAATTAGATTGATTAATGAATAATTAAAAGTATTTAAGAAACTCCGATAAATCATAAATATATGGAATATTTGTTGAAGAAATCTACAAAAGAAATCTAACTGATAACATACTGAAACTATTAAAAACCTCTAAGGTTGTGTCTAAATTATATTTGGTTAATGCGGTTTTATCATTGTATACCTTATGTAAGGTCATTTGTATGTTAAATCAATGAAACTCAACGAGACGATATTGCAAAATAGCACACACGTTATTCAGTAGTTGAACGCAAAAAAATATTATTTATGAAGTAGATAGTAATAATATCTGATATATTATTACTATTTATTAGTAATAATATATCAGCTCTGATCATAACGCTGATTCAAACAAACGAATGATTCCTGACAATAACCAACGAGATATCATACTTTAGAGCTTAGGTACAAACAATTAAAAACTTTTTCGAGAGATGCCCCCTTTTTTTTGTTAATCGAAATTGAAAACCTATCAAATGATGAATGTGAATAAATAATATATTATATAGAAATAACGCGAACGTGTGCCGATTATAATATATCGTTCACTAAAGCTCATTAGAGGAAAAATAAGGAAATGAAAATATTTCTAGACGTTATTGTCTACATAATTACCGACTACTCGCTGTCCTTGAGATAGTCGACCTTCCAGTTATCTATAGTGGCTATAAGTGAACAAACACGGTGCGACTTAATTTTTCAACTAAATTTTCACATTAAAATTCTAATTACATAGGTAGCAAAAAATTGTTGCAAAAGTTAATGTTTTACAAAGTATTATTTTTATGAATAGCAAGCACATATCAAATATATCAAGCGAAATAAAGCTTAAGTTTCCACTACTTCAGAGGAAAAAGGTTTTTCGGTATATTTTTGGGGTTTATTAACGTCAAAAGAAAAACTATAATAAAAAAATACTTATATAGCGCGCTGTAATTATAAGTTGAAAAATATGTACATTTTTTGGAATGTTTTTCTTAATTTTAGAGGCAAAGGGGTGAACTTTTTACATTTTTTGGCTCAACTAAGTACCTCTTAGGTACGATGTTTGATCTGTAGAGTTGCTATTTGAAGAAATCGGTTCAGCGGTTTAGATGATATTATTAGTCCAGACACAAACGCATCTTGGTAAAAACAAATCAAAGCTAAAAAAATTGTAATTTACCAAAAACAAATATTACAATAATAATTTATTTTAACAACTTTTTTTTTAATATTAAATAGTACTTAGTAATAACCAACCCGTTTACATCCTGCAAGTTGTTTTGATTTCCAAATAAACGTTTTTTCAGCTTACAAAACATATCATATTAACTTAATTTCTGGCTAAATAACAACCCGAAGAGATAGTTATAAAAAATATTACTCCCAACATAGCCAAAACACAACAAAATTAAAAATTAGTGAGGATAATGTTAAATTTAGATTTTTAATTTCAAGACCAGTTTCATTGGATTCAAGTCCAATTTTAATTCGGGCTATTAGTTGGAATTTGGGATTGAATCGTTTAATCGACAAGGACAAATATTTAACTGCATTGATTGAGTTACTTGTATCCTCATCCAGCTTGACTAATATTAAAATTCGTTTTTCTAATTGTATATTGTTGTTTTTTTTTTACTTTAATGTTATACCGCCTGGTAATGGAATAGTGCTTCACAATTACTATTTCTTGACAGCGGTGAAGATAATAAAATATTATGCATAATAATATTGTGACAAAGTACGGCAGATGTCGCTATTTTAATCAAATAGTGAAATCACGATAGTGTATTATTATAAAAAATAATATACATTAATTTTAATGTTGGTTACAATGGATCAGGTGTGACCCATTGTTGTCCAAATATCAAACTAGAATAATTATCGGACACTTGAATTTCACAATTAAAAACCACTATTACAATGAGAATACATTCCAGCTAAGGAATAGTAGTTATTGTTAAATTAAATTATCATGTTTCGTATAATGCTATTCTGATTCGAATACATTTTTATTTACGAATCAAAATTATAACATAATTGTATAGTTTAGTAATTGTCGTGCTGTAATGTTGTTAAAATAAAAGCACATTAATATAAAAAAAAAAAAATCATAACATGTTGGACTGATTATTATGATTGATCTGTCAAAAGCTCATTTATAAATTATACTGTACTTAACCATTCGGTTTGATTTATTAATAAATAAATTTGTCAAACATTTTTTTTTTTTTTTGAAAATGCAATCAAAAGCTATTGTAATTATTTTATTACGTAATAAGTAAAAATGATTGTGTAACGTTATTTTTGCCTTAGCTAATAAAAT